ACTATACTTTATAGTATAGGCAATGCTCCAACATAAATTGTTTTGTTTTCCGTTAGTGTAGAAATTTTGGTCCAGGTGATTGTCGAGAAGAGTTATTTGTTTGGTATCTCTAATATGGCATTATTGTTTATTTGGAAAAGCAAAATCTAAATAAGCTTATAAGAGATTCTATTTTAGTAGATGTATCCTAATTTGGAAAAAGTAAACACTGCTAATCTTTTGGAGAAGGTACGTTAGTTTTTCTACTTTTTAGCTAAAATTTTTAAAAAATTCCAAAATAGTGAAAATATAGTAGAAAGACTTTGGTTATAAGTATTTTCAAAATTTCTAAGAAGTGTGTTGAATATTCAAAACTTTTGCTGTTTTTCCTGTATTCTTTTTTGAAATAATAGCCTATATGCTTCATCAATGAAGTTGGGCTTCACTACCTACACTTCATCAAGATTTTTTATACAAAGACACCTTTTGCCAATTATCTTGTATAGCAATACTCCTAGCTTGTATGCCAAATATCCTTTTAGAGGAGTTCTCAAGAAGAAAAAGTTAACTTTTAGACAAACTACAACAATAGGCCACAACTCTCTAGCAAGTGTTTTGTTTTTTCTTTAGCAGAAATTTTGGTCTAGGTGATTATCAGAGAGAGTTATAAAATTAAATATATAATAAGTTATTGAATTTAATCTATAGTATATATATATATATTTTTTCTTTCGATAATCTCACACAAATTAAATTATTTTTAAACTTGGCTCAAGTTTTATATCCAATATATATATTTGGCAATACCCGGCTGCTTGGAAAGTGCTTAAAATATAGTTATTATATTGATATTTGCCAACAGAACTCACATATAGTGCTATTCATATTTAAAAAACTGCTTTAGCATAGTACTCAGCTATTGTATCGGAACCAGTGTTTAAAATTTGATGTTCTCAGGATTCTCAGAGAACATCTAAGTTTTTTTAAAAACATTAAAAACTAATATAATGTTCTCTTATTTGAGAACATTTTATATAAACAAAATATTCTCAAAAAGAACATTCATAATATTTTTTTTTGTTCTCAATTTTATTAACAAGAACAATAAATAATATATAATATTCATTATTAAATATTGAAATTAAAATATTTTATTATTCTAATCAGTTAGAAGCTCATATTCTATTATGTAAAGAAGTCTATTTTAGAAGTTCTGGCTTTCACTTGGCGATACCTATGTAAATGCTAGTAAATACAAAATTACCTTGAGTATATTCTCTTGGAATCAAAATAAAAAAAACAAACTATGCACTTAAAGAAGAGGTGCATTTATAGAGAGCAAAGCATTTATCACTCTTATAAGTTGGGCCAAGCATTACAATATATTTAGAATGAATTTATATAAAGTATATGTTTATAGAATATGCATTTAGAAAGAAAAAACAAAACCAATCTCATATTATATATTAAACATGGATCTTTCATCATCAACAAACATATTTATATCTTAAACACAACCTGAACTCTTAATTCCTAAAGTCATTCAGTGGAGCTATTATTTGTTTTCACCAATATCATACATTTGAGAACACTAATAAAATTGCGAACATGATCAAAAAATTAATGTTCTCTATGATGAACATTAAAAATTTTTTGAGAACATTAACTATTTAAATTAAGTTTGTTTGAGAACATAAATTTGAATCTGAATTTTAAACACTGATTGAAACTATATTTATTCTCTTCTAATTTTTTCTTCTTTTTAGAAACAGCCAACAGCTTAAAGTAAGAGGAGAATTTTTAAACAGAACAAATAAGAAAACAACTAGAAAAATAAAAAAAAAAAGAACAAAAAGAAATAAAACAAAATTCTAATAATATTAATAATACCTATACCAGGCTTAAAAAATTATATATTATATATAAAACTAATCAAGTTTTAACCTATAATATATAGATTTATTCTTTTTTAAAACTTTCATTTCTTCTAAAGATAGCCACCAACTAAAATAAAAAAAAAACAAAAAACAAAAAAAAATAAACCAAATTCTAATAGCACTATTATTGTTTATACAAGACTTAAAAAATTATATACTATATATAAAATTAATATAATCTAGCTTTACCTATAATATATATAACTCTACAATAGTTCAAAAACTTTTTACTACAAACCCAACTAATCAATATTCGTTTATTTCTACACATAAAGCTAAATATTGTAAAGTACTCATAACTATTTTATAATTTTCTTTCTAATTTAGTAGTAGTATACAATGCAAATCATTTGTCAGAGATATGCCAAATTTTCTACTTTTTGACAAAAATTTTTAAAAAAACTTCAAAACATAGCAGGAGAGTATTAAGAGGTTTTTAGTTATCTGTACTTGTAAAATTTCTAAGAGAGTGTATTGAATAACATTCTTATGTTGTTTCTCTTTGTTTTGCTACTAGAACTTTTGTTGATGGAAAAATACCAATCTTTACCAAAATTCTATATACAAGGACACCTTCTCTTGCTAGTTATTTTGTATTTTAATACTTTTGGCTTGCTTGCCAAATATATAAAAGAGTCTCCAGATAAGAAGTTAATCTTTATAAAAACTATTTCATGTGTTATCCTACTATACTTTATAGTATAAACAATGCTCCAATATAAGCTATTTTGTTTTCTATTGGTGTAAAAATTTTGGTCTAGATAATTGTTAAAAAGAGTGATATTTTATTAATTAAGATTTTTAGATTGATATATAATAATTTTTATAATAATTAATACAAATTTTAAATAAATGCACAGCCTTAATGGTTTGATAGTTTTGGCTAAAATTTTACAAAGACCAACATTGTGTCTTTATAAACAAAGTTACAAACAAATTTCATTTAGTTAAACATGAAAATTTTTAATATACTATACTATATGTTTTTTGTTTTTTTTATTAAAAAAAGGCAAGAAGAAAGTTTTTAATTTGGTTTCTTTTAAAGAAATGGCTTTGTAACAACGTATTTCTTGTATTTGTTCAAAACTATCAAACCATTAAGGCTGTACATTTTTGTATTAATTATTATAAAAGTTATTATTAATCTAAAAATTTTAATTAATAAAATTTATTATATGACTACCACATAGTTTTGATTTACACACTATACCAAACATACCAATGTATCAGTGGTATCAATAAATTTTGCTTGTATGGCAATATAATGTGCATATTAGTATCTAAGCCCACGGGTATCTATGGGCCGGGGTAGGGTATCATATTTTGAGCTCTAGGGCAAGGGTAAGGGCTTGGAAGGTGAGCCTTTACATAGATGAGTAGGGCTAGGGTATTAGTACTACCTAGTCCTACTCGGCCCATGCGGAGGCCTTCATATCAGTATATATATTTATCATATTTAGTGGCCCTGCTTTAGATATTCAAATATTAAAAGATGAAATTGTCCTAGTAACTTATGAAGATCGAAAACCTCAGTTTTATTACCACAAAAATATTATCAGTTTTGATTAAGAGTTAATATTTGAATATCATTATTATACTTTATTATGAGGAATATTCTTATTACTGAAAAAAACGGTTTTAATATTGTGAAATGTTATATTACTAAAAAAATTAGTTAAATACAACTCCAAATTGCGTAATTACTTGAAGCTATACAAATATTGATTCTAAATTACGTGAAGTAAATAACCATACTTATGATCAGCAAAAATTTAAGTCCCTTTTGAGACAACGTTTGTTTTGATTTTCTTACATCTAATCTCGATTTTATTGTTTAAATAACTGTTCGAAATTGGTAATCTGAACTAAGTTCCGACATTAAATATAACCTAGTAGTATAAAATGTAATCAATTAGTCGAATTGCAAATTTAGACTAAACTAACTCATAAAACAAACTAAAGTGAAAACAGAGATGTAAGAAACTAGTTTTTAGGTCTACCTTAATGCATTGAAAAAAATAAGATTGAAAAGTTGGTTTACCTTCAACCCTAATAAAGTTTGGTTTGTGCAACACTATTCTGTTTTAGGCAATTTAGGTAATTCCAAATTGTGCTTCTAACAAGTTTAGTGAGGTGGTCACACTGGCTACTAACCAATGCTTTAAAGTAGGTAAGACTACGCACTTTTTTGAGTCTACTCTTTGAATATCATGGATCCAATAGCAAAAGCTCATAAAGAACATTTGCATGCAGAAATGCGTAGGTTTTCTTAAGAATTCCTTATAAGAGAAGTAAAGTTTATAATATTTAAAGACCCCCAAATATATAATTCATATAAAGGTTACATTAAAATCTTGGCAAAAAAAAAAATACTATTTTGCAAAAATGTTATTTGAAAAAGCTATTGGCAACATAATAGCTTTTAACATTATGTTACTAAAAGTAGATAATATTAAGTGTATTCAAAATTTGGATAACCAAATCAAAAAAAAAGAAAAAGAGAAATTTAAAAGAAAGATATATTTAAGTTTTGACTAAAAATAAGGCTATTAAAACATTATGTAAAATATTATTGCATTTTTACATTAAAGCCAATGTAATCTCTATATATATCGTTTGGGGCCCTGAATTTAACAAGTATTATAAGTAATAGTCATTATTCTCTTACACAGGCACCATAGTAGGAAGAAAGGTAATTGAATCCAAACAATATCGATCAAGCAGATATATAAGCATGTACATTAGTAAGTTAAGTGGCAAAATTTCAACGGGATCTATATTCTATGATGCTTTTAGCAAAGGTATAATAATTATCGCTTCTTTTTAATATTATTTCTTTCTCGTGTAATCAATTAATTAACTACTAAACTACTAAACTATTTTTAGGGGAATATGTTATGTTCCACATTGGATTGAAACTAATATGGAAATGGTCAAACTTAAGTCTTTGCAAGATTATTTATCACTTAAAAATAGAGTGAATGACTCAGGGTTTCCAACGCTAGATAATCAAGAGTCAGAAATTGGTATCTAAACTATAAATCATAAATTTACAAATCTAAAAACTACTTCTCTTAAGGAACTGCTTAGTCTAATTATACTTATAATTATTACAGCAACTCAATTAGATTTGATTATAATACCTGGTAATTAATGATGCTTTACTTTTTTTTAAAAAAGATATGAAAAACTCTGACAATAAATGAATAGGAATGGCATATGATAATGACGGAACTAGACTTAGTTACAACAAAGAAGAGTAAGAGTTTTAGATTAATTTAATTTCAGCAGTTTAAACTACTTATTTAACTTGATTTGCATTATATTTATATAGGCCTTATAATGAATATTTGGCGAAATGTGAAGAATGGAAAAGCCCACCAAAAATTAGTAAGTTTATAAATTTACCTGTTTTCTATTGACCTCACCCCATGTTTTGGCAAAGTTTTAATATTTTATCGTAATTACATATCAATATATATATTTATCATATTTAGTGGCCTTTGCTTTAGAAGTTCAAATATTAAGAGATGAAAATGTCCCAGTAACTGATCGAAGGCCTCATATAATTTTATCACCATCACAAGATATTTGGGTTAATAATAATTAATATTTGATTATTGCACGGGTCTTATGTGACAACCCGTGCTTTTTTCATTTACTTATTGGCACGGGGTATGTGAATAACCCAGTTACACACACGGGTATCCCGTGCCTTTGGCGCGGAACATGAACCCGTGTATAACTGGGCTATTCATACATACCAATACAATAGCTATAAAATATCGATATTATACTTTATCATGAGGAATATTCTTATTACTGTATTAAAAAAGGTCTTAATATTGTGAAATGTTACATCATTAAAAAAGTTCTCTGTATAAATACAACTCACTAAGCGATTGAAAATTTGTTTATATGCGCGCAGTCCTATTTTCCAAATTGCGTAATTACCTGAAGTAATTGATTCTGAATTACATAAAGTAATAACTATTGACTTATTAAGGCTAATGACATCCAAAATTTCCCTTTTGGGAAGTTAGTACAGAAATAAGCGTGCGGCGTTTGTTTTGATTTTCTTACGTTACATCTAATCTCGATTTTATTGTCTAAATGGCTGTTCGAAATTGGAAATCTGAACTGAGTTCCGACCTTAAATATACCTAGCAGTGTAAAGTGTAGTCAACTAGCTGAATTGCAAATTTAGACTAAATTAACCCGTAAAACTAATTAAAGTGAAAACAGAGGAGATCGCAAAAAATGCAAGAAACTAATGTTTAGGTCTGCCTTAATGCATTGAAAAAATAAGATTGAAAAAGTTGGTTTACTATCTACAACCCCAATAAAGTTTGGTTTGTGCAACACTATTCTGTTTTAGATGTTCACCAATTCAGCAATTTAGGTAATTCCAAATTGTGCTTCTAACAAGATTAATGAAATGGTCACACTGGCTACTAACCAATGCTTTAAAGTAGGTAAGACTACGCACTTTTTTTGAGTCTACTCTTTCCGAATATCATGAATCCAATAGCAAAAGCTCATAAAGAACATTTGCGCGCAGAAATGCGTAGGTTTCTTAAGACCATTCCTTCTGATCAAATTATGACAGAAAGTAAGTTTATACTGTAATATTTAAAAAAAACCCCCCCGAATATATAATACATATAAAGGTTACATTGAAATCTCGACAAAAAAAAATTTTTTGCGAAAATGTAAAACAGCTATTGGCAAAAATGTTACATTACGTAGAAAGTGGATAACTGCCTTTATCATTATGCTATTAAAAGTATATAAAATGTTATTCAAATTTGAATAACCAAATAAAAAAAAAAAGAAAATTTAAAAGATATATTTAAATTTTGACTAAAAATAAAACATTATGTAAAATATGGCTTATTAACATTTTTATATTAAAGCCAATATAGTCTCTATATATATCGTTCGGGGCCCTGAATTTAACAAGTATTATAAGTAATAGTCATTATCTAAACATTTCTCTCTCTTACACAGGCACCACAGTAGTAAGAAAGGTAATTGAATCCGAACAATATCGATCAAGCAAACATATAAGCGTGTACATTAGTAAGCCAAACAGCGAAATTTCAACGGAATCCATATTCTATGATGCTTTTAGTAAAAGTATAATAATTATCGTTTCTTTTTTAACATTATTTCTTTCCCGTGTAATCAATCAATTAACTACTGAACTATTGTTAGAAAAAATATGTTATGTTCCATGTTGGACTGGAACTAATATGGAAATGGTCAAACTCGAGTCGCAAAAAGATTATTTATCGCTTAAAAATAGCGTGGATGACTCAGGGTTCCTAACGCTAGATACTAAAGAGCGAGTAATTGGTATCTAAATTATAAATCATAAATTTACAAATCTAAAAACTACTTAAAGATCTGCTTAGTCTAATTATAATTTATTATTATTACAGCAACTCAATTGGATTTGATTATAATGTCTGGTAATTAATGCTCTACTTTTTATATATTATTATGGAACCTGTTTAAAATAACTATTAAATTAAATAGGACTGGCATTTGATCTTAATAGAAATAGACTTGGCTACGGCAGGGGGTAAGAATTTTATATGTTAATCTTGGCGTTTTAAAATTAGCTTATCTCAATCCGTTTTGCGTTTATATTGATGGCGAGATGTCAAGAATGGACTAATCCACCAAAAACTAGTAAGTTTATAATATCAGTGTATTGGTAAAATTTCAATATTTCACCATACTTATACGTATATATTGTATTTTTTATTATATTTAGTGGCTCTTGCCTTAAATGGTCAAATATTAAGAGATAATGATATTCCAGAATCTGAATACGATCGAAAGCTTGATTTAATTTTGTCACCAAATCAAAATTTTTAAGGATTAAGTATCTGAATATCTTTTTTATATATATTCTATAATCATGATAAGTATATATATCCTATATATATTAGAAAAATGATATTATACGATGCTATCAAACTTTATACTATTTAAGAGGTAGTGAGACGAAAAATTAGCATTATATTCTCCGAACGCTAACTTTCAATGTATATGTAGTTTTGTTTGCGGGTTTAACTTCGTGATTTTAGACGGCTCGCACAATATCAAAAAAAAAACAAAAAATTTATATAACTTATGTATTATATTGTATATTGAAAAAAAAAAATAACAAAAAAATTCATATGATATATTGTCAAATTTCATCGTAAAATTTTATTTAAATAAAATTTGTTTACTAATTCAATTTTTATACACTTTAATTTCTTTTTTTTTCAACTGAATGGTTCTAAAGTAACAAAATGATAAAAAAAAATGCCAAAAATTAAATCACAAAAATATTGAATGATAAGTAAATTATTAATATGAAGAAATCATATATATAATGTATGATACAGTAAAGACTAATTTTTAGTCAAAGGGTAATAAAATTGAAAATGTCTATAAGTTCGCTGATATATTGTTAAGGGTATTAGAAAAAAAGTCAAGAAGCATGTATAATTTAATTTTAGTGTATATATATATATTGTCTATAATCAATTAAAATACTTTGACGCCTATTAATACATAAAAAAAAGCATATAAATATAATTAAATATGTCAATTGTTAATTTTTTTAATTCGTTACAATAGCAACTCTATTTCCATGCAATTGTATTCGCTCAAGTTTTTCAGGGGAGGAATGTAGAATCTCATTCTCTGAAGATAACTTCTGCTGTACGAAAACATCTAATTCTTCTGACTTAGCCTTTTGATAATAAATTGATTTTAGCGATTAATAATCCGAAAATATTGAATATTATAATGAATCTACTCAGTTTCCTTTTTACAAAATTTTGTATTTGATATTATACCTTAGTTATATATTCAACTTTAGCATCAGCTTCAAATACTTGCTCTAATATATCTAACGGTTCATCTATTTGTGACCAATCAATGGTAAGTGTTTTTTCTGAACGGTTTTCGTCCTCATCTTTCAAAGTTTCTGTATCTTCTTCAAGAGATTGACGACTAGAGCTTAAATCCGGATCTACCGGTATTGGCTCAGTTACATCTTTTAAAGCCTTTTTTCCATCTTCCCATTCTTGAAAAATGTAGACAAAATCATTGCTTATTGATTCATATTGTTTAATTAACCGTTCTCTCTCATCATCAGAAAAATCCACACCTGCTTACAATAAAATTTTAAATTATAATTAAGATTTTATCTAAAAATAAATAAAAATTATAATCCAAATACCTTCTGTTTCATAATATTTACGAACGTCCTCATTGCAAATGTATAATTTAGCTTGAATGCTACGGACACGTTGTTCGACTGAGGCTAAACGATGAAGATAGATTCTGAGTTTTTTGTTCGTGATTATTTGTGGGGTTGGCTGTGACAGAAAGTCTTGTTTAGGAGTTGGAATGGTATCTAGGATATATTGGATACATAAATATATCATTATAAAAATGCATTAATCGCAGGCTAAGCAATTTAAAGTATTATTTACATAAGTCAATAGCAGATGCCGCAATAACTCGGTCCAAGTAAATTCCAGTGACAACACCTAAATTATTTAAATGTTCATTGACTATTGACCAATGTTGTTCATAATCTCCTCGGCCAGAGTCTCTTCCGGGTGTCATTACATCTAGTGCAAGAAAATGACACAACAATTCACGACGTTTTGTATGCATCTTCTGAAAACATTGCTTCAAAAATTCCAGAGAAAACGTATCTTGCTCTTCCAAATTCCATTCATCATTTTCTGGACGAGGAACGATGTTGTACATATTGTACATTATAATTAAATTTCCTTTCAAAGTTTCTGGATTCATCGCAACTACAGCGTCACAATAACTCTCAAAAGCTTCTCGAAGTATATTATGAATAGTTTCACGAAACACGCCACAACGTCGATCTTCTGAACTTTGTTCTGTAAGGGGCATCGATCTGTTATCGAGTTAAATTTAGTTGTTTAAGAATATGAAAAAAAAAAAAAATCGTAAAATGAATTTGTTCATACAATCTGTAGCCACGTGATACGAGTTCAATTTCCTGGATCATTGTTAAAGCTTTGTTTAATTTTATATCAAAAATTTGACAATTATACACTAGCATTTCCAAAAAATATAATGCAGAACTGTATAATGTTTTCATAGCTTTTCGTCGCTAATAAATTAAAAAATATTTAATCATTAAGATAGTATAAAATGACGGTGAATTTTAATGTTTTACATGTATGAATGAAAGTTACCATGCGACGGTATAAGAAAAATGCACCACATAATGCTAACATGAATGCAACTGGCAATTGCATTATCTTTGTACCGATATCCTTAGAGTCAGTACCGTTCAATAACCAAGTTGAAACAACGACGATCATTGCGATTATAGAACTTAATAAGATCTCAAAATTTCGACGCGAAATTCCTCCTAAATATAACCCAGCGTCACTGATCTCTATTGGATCTGGCTTTTTGCTATCATAGAAATAAACTGATAGCGTATCATTTAGGAGGTGCGACGTGCATAATAAATACTTAAATCGTTCTTCGAACTCATTTTCTTCTTGTAAAGGTAAAGCTATTGATAATGTTTCCTGGATTAAAAAGTCACATTAGCGCACTACTATCTCTCAAGGGTTGTTGAGAATGCATAATTGTAAGAAAGCTATTATGCTGTCAGAAAGTGCAAATATTTACCTGAAGATATTCAAATATATTTAACACACATTGCGAAAACCGTGATATAGTTATGGATTCTTCGTCGTCGTCAATTTGAGATCTTTGCCTTTCAACAAATAAGCTTTTCCTTTTTTTTTTACTGGCGTCTATTCAATAGTATAAAAATTTTACTTTCAAGGTTCCACCCGAAAAAACTAGAGTTCCTTTAAACGACTTACAGTTATGATCCTCTGCGAAATGATCGTAGACTATGTTTTTTTTCAGCCATATATAATACTTTTAGGAAAAAAAAATGAAAGTAAATTTTTAAGTACAATCGGCGGAAGTTATGGGGATGAAAAAATAATAAGAAGTATATACCCCCAAAAATTTTTATTAATTTGCTCGTGGTGACGACTGATAGATCACCAACGTTCGTGACACATGTACTGTTTTAAAAGTATATAAATGTAGAAAAAATTGATCGCATAAGATCGCCACAATATTTACCAGTATATTTTCTATATTTACCATGTGAACATAAGGCTATTAACCTTTTTTACCAAAAAAAATCATGTGATTATTAAGGCCCTTATTCAAGTATTCAATAACCTGCATGTGGTTAATTCAATATTACTTAAATAGTTTAGAGAAAACGAATCATCCGTTTTTGATTTATAAGCTCATTTTTTTCAAAAGAATAATTTATATTGAGAATGAAAACAAATTAAGCGATTTTCGTTATAATGGTTTATAATGATGTAATTGCGCTGAGAATACCATGAAAACATCATGCATACTTCATGATGTTTAAATAATATTGTAGAATTAAATTTCTTTATTATATCGATTCTTTATATCGCGTCGCCTTTGCCAAAAAAAAACCTTTCGCTACTAAATTACTAAATTAGGGATAAATTTTTACTACAGTAATACAGTACCAAAAATTCTCAACAAAAAAACTGCAGTAGTGTGCGTAGGATTCAGGAGCGAAAGTACAGACATGTTCTTTAAAGTTAGACCTAGTGCTAGGAAAATTGCATGGCAGATTCATGATTTTGATTGGCTATACTATAACAATGTCTAAATTTTAAATTTAATAAGAATTATTTTTTATTTTTTATATTTATTTATTTTTTTATTATAAAATTTTTATTACTGTCGTCCTCCTCTAAAATCACGCAGTCCGGTTTTTACTATGATGTGCTTATAAAGAAGTAGTAAAGTGTTGCAGGCCTTGGCGTGATTATAAAAAGGGTTTTACTATGATGTGATTATATAGGAGGTGACTATATAAGAGGAAGACAGTAACCTTATATGAGTGCTGTTAATAGAAAACCTGCCATCGGGCCTTCAATGTTCAGCTGGCTTTTCTGTATGCCGTCTACGAACAATCTATCATCGGAATAGATTGCCCATATATAGCATGCAGAAAGCCAACTGAACATTGAAAGCCGTTTTCTATTGACAGCATTCATATGAAAAGTACGTAATCATATAGAGCACTCTACAGTTAGTACAGCTAATCATATATCAGATATGTAACTTTAATTATCTATTTAAGTATACTGTATAGTCTGTTTACAGGTTTTATATTAGCTATCATTATCGATATCTACGTATAATCTAACTAGAAATTTGTTTATTTAAAGTCTTAAAAAATAAAAATTAATTGCTTAGTTTCTATTGATTCAACCCCGTATGTTATACTTTTTCAGATTTCTTTTGATTTAAAAATTTATTTATTAAACAATTTATGTTTATAAATTTTAATTTTATTATAAAATTTTAAAAAATGTACTGATCTAATTACGTTCGGATGCGGCATATCAAATTTATTATATAAAAATCGGTAAATAAATATAACCCATTTTTTTAGGCAGAGTTCGATATAAGGGATGACCATATTAAAAACTAACTGAATCTATCATTGTTCCAAGTGCCATTACAATGTTATTAGACATAACCTCCTCTACACTTTCTTCCAAATGTCGTTTAGGGTCCTGTTTGCCCACATGACGGGTTTTTAATTGATCAGCTGTCATTGTTGATTCTTCCTGCACTGATTTGTTATATGCTTCAGCCAATGTAAGCATCGACTATAATTACAAGAAAGCTCGTAAACAAAAAAAAACAAATAAAAAAATCAGATAAAAATTTTTGGGGGTATATACTTCTTATTATTTTTTCATCCCCATAACTTCCGCCGATTGTACTTAAAAATTTA